GGGAGTGAACTGGCAGATGGAAGATCAGTCTCTTTCTGCGTATCTCCTCTGCCCATCTGTCTTTTAGATAAATAAGATAAAGAAAGATAAAATCAGAAAGCCATCTTTTTTGACCTAAGAAAATACAATGATTTAATGTCTTTTTTTAAATTTATTTATTTTTATTGGAAAGTCAGATTTATGGAGAGAAGGAGAGACAAAGAGAAAGATCTTCAAACTGCTGGTTCATTTCCCAAATGGCCACAACAACCAGAACTAAGCCAATCAGAAGCCAGAAGCCAGGAGCTTCTTCCAGGTCTCCTGCGTGTGTGCTGGGTCCCAAGGCTTTGGGCCATCCTCTTGGAGCTGGAAGGGAAGTAGAGCAGCCAGGGTAGGAACCAGCACCCATGTGTGATCCTGGCGCGAGCAAGACGAGGACTTTAAGTATTAGGCTATTGTTTTGGACCCAAGGGTTTAGTCTTTGACAACTTTTGTGTCTGTTTTGGAGTACGGCTATTCGTGTCTACAACATCTTTTCTCCTTGGCTGGTGAGAAGACATATGGAAGTTTTGGGAAAGTTCTTTCTCCCTCTCTTCTTAAAGATTTATTCATTCATTTGAAAGAATAACCAGGGTTGTGGGGTTGCACTTGGACATAGGGAGAAAGACAGAATCTTCTATTTAGTCTTCAGATAGTCACAGCAACCAGAACTGGGCTGTGCTGAAGCCAGGAGTTAAGAACTCCATCCATGTTTCCTTGAGGCACATTCTGCTGCCTTTCCACACACATTGACAGGGATCAGAAGCAGAACAGCTGGGATCCAAACCAGCACTCCAATACGGGATGCCAGTGTTTCAAGCAGCAGCTTAACCTGGCCCCAGGGAAGTTATCTTGGTAAGTGAGTCCTTCTAGTATGTGAATTCCAGGGGAGTCAGTTGGAGTGAGTAGCCTGCTCTGAACTGCTGGACTCAGGATGGCCATATGTGATACAATTGACCCATACAGAGTGTGCAATTCGTTGTTCTCTAACGTAATCATAAAGTAAACAGTCGTCATCACAATCTATTTTTGCAGTTGTCTCTTCTGAAGAAAATGTACTCCCTAGCACTCCCCAATCTTCCATTCCAGCGCTCAGCAGTCACTAATTCACTGTTGTTCAAGGAACATTAACAGGAACCTGGATCAGAAGCGGAGTAGCCAGGATTTACACTCTGAAATGGAATTAGAGTGCCTCAGTGCGTAGCTTAACCCACTGTGCCACAAATCCTGTCCCAGTATTTGACGTACTACATCTGGCTTCTTTCAGTCACCGTAGTGTTTTCGAGGTTCTTTCATGTTGCATTCCTTTTTGTGGCTGAAAAATGCTCCCTCATAACTGGCCCACATTTTGTTTATCCATGGCTCGGTGGATGGACATCTGGGTGGTTTCTACATTTTTGATAGTATGAATTATGTTGCTAAGAACATTCACATTTAAGTTTTTATTATGGGCATATGTTTTTATTATTTTGGGTATATACATATAGGAATACAGTTTCTGGGTCATGTGGTAATTGTGTTTAACATTTGTGAAACTGCCAGGCCACTTGCCAAAATAAGTGAAACATTTTAGGATTCTACCAGCAGTATATGAGGGTTCCAGTTTCTCCAAGTGTTTGTCGAAACATTTGTTATTTTCTGATTGTGAGAGTGGCAGCGAGTGTGAAATGGAACACAATGCCGTTTGATTTTTGATTTCCCTTATTACTAACGATGTAGAGCATCTTCTCATTTCGAATCAATTCCTTTGCTGTTTTTGAAGTTAGGTTGAGTTTTTATTGTGGAATTGTAAGAGTTCTTTACATATTATGGATGTAAGTTATTTATCAGATACGTGATTTGCAAATATTTTCATTAATTCTGCAATCTTTTTGTTCTTCATGGTATCATTGATAGTTTTAAAATTTGAAGAAGTTCATATTGATCTGCTTTTTCTTTTGCCATCTGTACTTGTCATATCTTTTTTTTTTCTTTTATGATTTATTTATTCTTGGGGCCAGCGCAATAGCCTAGTGACTAAACTCCTTGCTTTGCACATGCAGGAATTCTATATGGGAGCCAGTTTGTATCTCAGCTACTCCACTTCCAACTCCCTGCTTGTGGCCTAGGAAAGCAGTCGAGGACAGCCCAAAACCTTGGAACCCAGCACCCACGTAGGAGACCAAGGAGAAGTTTCTGGCTCCTGGCTTCAGATTTGACCAGCTCTGGCCATTGCAGCCACTTGAGGCTAAACCAGTAGATGAAAGATCTTTATGTGTTTACTTCTCTCCTTATAGCTGGTCTGCCTTTCCAATAAGAATAAATAAGTCTTTCTTTTTTTAAAAGATTTATTTATTTACTTTTATTAGAAAGTCAAATACATACACATCAGGAGAGACAGAGTGAAAGATCTTCCTTTCACTGGTTCACTCCCCAAATGGCTGCAACAGACAGAACTAAGCCAATTGGAAAACAGAAGCCAGGAGCTTCTTCTGGGTCTGCCACGGAGGTGCAGGGTTCCAAGGCTTTGGACCATCCTCTGCTGCCTTCCCAGGCCACAAACAGGGAGTTAGATGGAAAGTAGAGCAGCCGGGACACAAACTGGCACTCACGTGGCATCCTGGTACTTGCAAGATAAGGATTTAGCCACTAGCCATCATGCTGGGCCCTAGACTGTCATATCTAAGATACTGTTCCTTGGGGCTGGCATTGTAGCCCTGCAGTTTGTTAAGCTGTTATATTTGATACCAGCATTCCATGTGAGTGCTGGTTCCAGTTCTGGCTACTGCTCTTCCAAACCAGCTCCCTGCTAATGCACCTGGGAAAGCAGTGGAACTTTGCCCAAGTAATTGGGCCCCTGCCACCTAGGTGGGAGACCCAGGTGGAGTTCTGGCTTCAACCTAAGCTATTGGGGCCATTTGAGAATTCTCTCTTATTCTCCCCGCCTCTCTCTCTAGCTCTACCTTTCAAACAAATAAATTAATTAAAAAAAAATAAATTGTCTTACCCAGTTATAAAGACTTTATGTGGTCCCAGTACTGTAGCCTAGTGGCTAAAGTCCTTGCCTTGCACTCACTGGGATCCCATATGTGCACTGGTTCTAATCTTGGCAGCCCTGCTTCTCATCCAAATCCCTGCTTGTGGCCTGGGAAAGCGGTTAAGGACAGCCCAAACCCTTGGGATCCTGCGCCACGTTGGAGACCTGGAAGTGGCTCCTGGCTTAGGATTGGCCCAGCTTTGGCTATTGCAGCCGCTTAGGGAGTGAATACAGAGGGAGAATCTTCCTCTCTGTCTCTCCTCCTCTCTGTATATCTGCCTTTCCATAAAAAGAAAATAGGCCCAATGCAGTAGCTCAGTGGCTAAAAGATCTTGCCTTGCCCATGCCAGGATTCCATATGGGCAGCAGTTCTAATCCCAATGGCCTTGCTTCCCTTCCAGCTCCCTGCCTGTGGCATGGGAATGCAGTCGAGCACAGCCCAAAGCTTTGGGACCCTTTACCCATGTGGGAGACCTGGAAGAGGCTCTGGGTTCCTGACTTCATATTGGCTCATCTCCAGCCATTGCAACCGCTTGGGGAGTGAATGAATCAATGGGCAGATCTTCCTCTCTGTCTCTCCTTCTCTCTGTATATCTGAATTTCTAATAAGAATAAAATAAATCCTTAACAAAAAAATAAATAAGCGAGATTTATCTCTGTTTCTCTCTTTCTTTTTATCCCATTTCTACAGTCATTTATGTTGGTCTGGCCCTGCGTCAGAACCTAATCTGAGGTCTGTGCTCTTTTTGCTACACAAGGCAAGAAATGACAGTGAACTTACAGTAAGATACTGAGTTCAGGTAAATTGGTTTCTTTCAGATTGCACAGATTTCTTAATTCATTTTTTTTTTAAATTTCTAAAAGTTGTCTAGATGTATTTATTTGAGAGGCAAAGAGAAAAGTGAGGGGAAGAGAGAGACAGAGACAAAATGAGAGAAAGAGATGCCCTCTTCTGGACTGTGACAGACAGGACTGGGGGAGGCCAAAGCTCAGAGCCAACAACTCAGTCAGGGGTTGCCTTGTGAATGGCAGGACCCAAGTGCCTGGGCAGTCGCCTGCCCCCTCCCAGGCACGTTAGCAGGAATCTGGTGTCAGGGCCAGAGCCAAGTCTTGACCCCACACATTTTGATATGGGACCCAGGCATCCCAACGAGTTCTTTTAACCACTGGACCAAATGGCTCTCCCAGATGTTAGCGGTTTTTGAGAGTAGATTTGAAAAGGTACAGGCTTTAGATGAGAATGAATGAGGATTGTGTGCAGATGATGGTGAGACTTTGGTGTGAATGATTGAAAATAAATTTCAGTACAAACCTACGAAGTATGAAGGTTGTGTCTAGGCTCGACCAAGCTGAGACACTTTATCAGTCTCCAGCTTTCCTGAGGGCCCTCTTTGGAGTCAGACTTTCCTTTCTGATCAGAACACTAGGGCCCCCTAGTGGACAATCCCCCCCTTTTTTTTCTAATGAAGAGACAGAGCTCCCACTCTGGTTCACTCCCCAAATACCCATGACAGCTATGTCTGCACCAAGCCAAAACCAGGCCCTAAACACTCAGTCAAGAGTTCCACGTTGGTGACAGGCGGCACCTCTCAGGAGCTGGACACTCTAATTGGAACACAGGCATCCTAACCACCCAGGCCAAATGTTCATTCCTGTGTAATGTTTCTTGCTTAAAGGTCTTGGGTTGTTTTTAGTGTTTCCCACCTCTCCTTTGTTGTGGGATTTGCTTTTTTGTGCAGAGCAAAGATGGTTTGACTCTCTTTCAGTGAATTCTTAACCCCCTCACACTTTGATTGTCAGTTCATGCCCATTTGTGGCCTCTTGGTGTTCACTAAGAAGACATTTACCCTCTAACAGTCACCCCGTGATCCTGTACCTGAATTCAGAGGTCATTTGCTTTTTATTGTCAACTGATTTATCCTCCTCTTCCAGCTGGCACTATATTAATAATAATTCTTTGTTCCAGAGCCATCATCAACCACTTTAACCCCAAAATTGAGTCGTATGCTGCTGTGAATCACATATCCCAACTGTCAGAGGAGCAGGTAAGCTTCTGCCGTCCAAGAGTAACCAGGTGATACCGAGGATCAAGTGGGTGCCTCTTCGTGGTGGCTAGGATTGCCAGACTACTGAGAGAAATTCACAGAAGTCCTTCAAGTAGACCATGATGCCCTCCTCTGCATTTGTACAGTTAGGTCTGCATAACTGTACAAATTGGAAGGTGCATAGGTGAAACTGGTGAATTATATTGTGTTAAAATAGGTGATATGGCTTTTCCTTTCAGAGAATCACCATGCTTTATGAAAATAGAAACTGAAGACTTTTTGAAATGGGTGAAAATATCAATTAGAAAAGCACTGAATTCAGCTTAATTTGGACTTGCTTGTCTTGTGAAAGCATGCCCCCTCATTGGGTTGTCCCAATAATAACCTAGTTACTTCCATGGTAAGCGAGTTCCCTTGGCCACAAGCCAGCCATTCTGCGATAGGCCTTGCCATGGCCTGGGCCAAGGTAGAGGTGCAAAGAGCCTTGTTTGTGTGTGTGTTATACTTGAAGCTGGCCTCCTTTCCCTTCCTCCCAGAATGCCTGCACTCAGTGCTGCATTACATAAAAGTACAGATGGGCCTTTAGCATGGCATAGGGTTCAACTTCAGGTTTCAAGCTGAGATTTGAGTGCCATTTTTAAAAGCATAAAATAAGACATCCTATTCCCATGGTTTCCTTCCTTTCCATGCTATTTTCTAGATGAAGAGGCCAGAGTACAGAGGCCACACCAATCAGGAGCCCCCTGTTTTCTGCTCTCCTTTTTATTTTTTCCCACCCAGTGCGTCATCATCATAACCCTTCTCTGAGCTTTTTGCTGGCAGGGCCAGCCACCAGCTATGGTGTGACTGTGTGTTCCCACTTGCCTAAACGTTATTCAGTTCCCCCAGCGAGGTGGCAAGCAAGTATTCTCCTAACTGTTAAGCTTCTCAGTATTCCCCCCAGTGGTTCTTCCCTCAGCCAGATGGTTAGGACTCTATTAGTCTGTCAGTTGTTTCCTTTGACATATTTGTTCTCTTTTGTGAGGCCAGCTGTGAGAATCCATTCCCACATTGGAAACCGCTTTCATAAATGGCTTTTAGTTCTCTTTTTTCTTTTCTTTTCTCTTTGCCTGCGGAGCAGTCCCAAGTCCTGTTCTTTGATGCTGGCACTCTGTGAGTGCTCTGTTCTGCTACCTTCTTCCTGTTGGACCACTTCTAATCAGTTTTACTACATGAGTATTATGCAGAAGAGCCCAGCATCTTGCGCTTTCTGAGTGAAAGGAGAAATTATTTTTCCTACCACAGTGAGCTCTGGTTAGTCAAAAAGCTTAAAAAAAAAAAAAAAAAAACAAGACGACACATTTTCACTGTGAGCCACGTGTCGTGCTCATCCCCAGCAGCTTGGGAAGGTCAGGCTGAATCTTTCTCTGTCAGTGGCAGCCATGGGCCAATAATAAGAATCCATTCTGGTGCATGCGGCAGTCTGGAAGAGGATGATTAGCAGGCACGTGTCCTCACTCTCATCTAACTGCTTGCAAAGTTACAGGAAGCAATGAGAGTGCCTCTCAAGGAGAAGCCATGAGCCAGGTGATTTCTATGATCCAGGCTGAGAAGGAGAAATGGGAAAGGGGGGTAGCTCTCACAGGTTTGTGTCCCTGGTCGGTAAAGAGTTACAACCCTGCTCTAACCCAAAGAGTGGTCCTTTGTGGGGACCAGCCTGGCTGTCCTGGGAGTTGCTATGCTCGCTACCTCCTCTCAACCCTTTTCCTTGGTGGGGGTGGTTTGGGGAGAGCGATGCTACTCTGGGACCTTTTCACAGCACTCTCAAAATAATTGTGACCTCTCTTCCCTGACTGAAAGGTGCTAAATGACAGCACACTTGGTTTTCTCCTCAGCACTATCAGAGAGAGAGAGGGCTGTGGCTGCCTTGATAATCTCTCAAGTGTGTGTTGCATCGCTCAGGTCCCTTCACTTAGGAGCACTAATGCTAATGTCACTGAATGTTAAGGGTGTTCACAGCGTCCCAGAGCTGGCTTTAGGATATAGTTGAGCCTTGTCAGCAGCAGACTGAGTAGGCAAGAAAAACATCCTTAGTAGATTCCAAAGTTCTCCCAAAATTTTAAAGACCATGGATAGGTGTTAACTGGGATTTATACCACTTAGTGAGTTAGCAGACAAGACAGAACCTTGTGCTGGATCTGGCTGCCCAGCCTGCCTTTTTTTTTTTTTTTCCTGGCATGAGATTTGTAAATCCTTGATTCTGACAGCCCCCACATACATTTCTGCCTATGTTGATGCATTTCAAGGTAATGCGTTTTTGCTCTTTCAATAAAGACCGATCTCTGGCCAGTCTTGTACTGGAGTTTCTTTTGAGGCATTCAGAAGCAAGATGACATTTTTCTGGTACTTCTCATTGGCTTTATGCAGAACAGATTTTTAATCCATTAATGACTCTCAGTCTTAATGGTTATGCATTTTCTAGCATAATAAACTGCTTGCATTTTTATCATGTATATATAGGTTTTTTAGGTTAGTTGTGAAGTTTATTCATTTTGATTTGTGTGTGTAAATGGTAAAATATATATGATAGAAGATTTACCATTTAATCATTTTTTTAAGTGTGCAGTTTAGTGTATCAGTCACTACTGTCTGTCTCTCCAGAACTTGATCTTGAGTCCGTATTGGAACGCTGTGCCTATTAGACAGTAAGTCATTGTTCTCTTGCCCGAAACCTCTGCAACCACTTTCACACTCTGTTTCTGTGACTGGAACTTCTCTAGGTATCTTAGTGGAAGCTTAGACTTTTTTGGCTGGCTTACTTCATTTAGTGTAAGATTTTTTTAGAAACTTAAAGAAAATTATTTATTTGAAAAACATAGTTATAGAGGAAAAATGAGAGGGAGAGAAAATGAAGTGAAAGAGAGTAACATCTGTTGTTACTCCCTTAATAGCCAATAGCCAATGCGGGGCCAAACCAAAGCCAGAAACCAGCAGCTTCCTAGGGGTCTCCTACGTGGATACAGCGGACCAAGGACTTGGACCATCTTCTGCTGGTTTCTGAGGCACATTAGCAGGGAGTTGAATCAGAAGTAGAGCAGTCAGGATTGAGCCAGTGCTCATATAAATGTCAGCATTGTAGACAGCAGCTTTACATGCTATGCCACAATGGGTAGTGTAAGGTGCTTGGTTTATCCATGTTGTATTATGTGTTAGGATCTTGTCTTTTTTTTTTTATGATCTTTACATAGTTGATTAGGGCTCAAAAGGGTCAAGGGCTACAGGAAAGTGAGTAAGACCATTATGTCCACATTCTCTTTTTTCCTTCCTGTATCTGGGAGAAGGAGAAGACAAAGGGAGAAGCCACACCCTTCCTCCCAACCATCCCAGAGTCCGCAGTGTGGGGCATGCTCTGAGGGCACTGCCCAAGGTTTTGATAATTCAAAACCTCTTCTGATTTGCTGCTGATCTTGCCATTCCAAGCATCACGAGAACTTTAGCCGCTAGGCCACACCGCCGGGCCCATAATTTGATTTCTTAAGGCTAAGTAACCTTCACTTGTATACATGTACCACATTTACTTTAGCCTTTTGTACATTGATGAATGTTTTGTGTTGGCTGCTGTGACTGTTAAGTGTGCAGATATGCATGTAAGGCTTTCCCTGCTGTTCCTTTGCATGCAGACCCAAAAAGGAATTGCAGTTTCATATGGTGATTTGTGTATAGCATTTTGAGAAGGATGAACATTTGGTACAGTGGTGAAGATGTTGCTGGCCCACCTGCATTTCATTGACATGCCTAAGTTGGAGTTATAGCTCCATTCTCCATTCCAGCTTCCTGCTAATGTGCACTGTGGAAGACAGTAGGTGATGGCTCAAGTACTTGGGTCCTTGCCACCTCTGTGGGAGACCCAGATTAGGTTCCATGCTTGTGGCTTCAGCCTGGCCCCAGCCCTGGCTATTATGAATATTTAAGGGGATAAAGCAGCAGATGGAAAATCTTTCTCTGCTCACATCTGTCTGTCTTTCTCTGTATCTCTGCCTTTCAGATAAATACAAACAAAATATATATATGTGTGTGTGTGTGTGTATACGCATTTCTGAAGAACTGCCAGATTGTTCTCAAAGTAGCTTTCACTATTTCAGGTCTCAATGTTGGTGTTGCCTCATCTCCCTGCCAACATATGTTTTCATTATTCCCATCCTAAAGGATATGAAGTGATAACTCACGTGATATTCATTTGTATTTCCCTGATATATTGAGCATCATTTCTTGTGCCTATTGGCCATTTCTATATCTTTTTGGGAGAAATGTCTGTTCAAACACTTTGCCCACTTCTGAATTGAATGGCTTCTTTTAATTGTTGCTGAGTTCTAGAAATTCTTTGTTTATTTTGGATATTAATTCCTCATTTTATATGTGTTGGTAATATGTCCTGTTTACTCCTATTTCTCCTTTTTACTGTGGTAATAGTGCCCTTTATGTTTGAATTTTTTAAATTTTGAAGAATTTAAGCTTGTCTTTTTTCCCCTTGGTTGTCTCTGCTTTTAGTATCATCTAAAATTCATTGTCAATTTAGTGTCTGTCAGGCTTTATCCTTGTGTTTTCTTCTAAGAATTTAGTTTTAGCTGTAAAAAAAAAAAAAAAAGATTTATTTTTATTGGGAAGTCAGATACACAGAGAGGAAGATCTTCTGTCCATTGATTTCACTTCTGAAGTGGTCGCAGTGGCCAAAGCTGAACTAATCCAAAGCCAGGAGCCTCTTTTCAGGTCTCCCACGCAGGTACAGGGTCCCAAGGCTTTGGCCCATCCTCGACTGCTTTCCTAGGTCACAAACAGGGAGCTGGATGGGAAACAGGGCCACCGGGGTTAGAACCAGCGTCCATATGGGATCCCGGGCAAGTACAGGTGAGGACTTTAGACAATAGGCTACTGCGCTGGGCCCTAGTTTTAGCTTTTATGTGCAAATCTTTAATCCATTTTTAGTTAATTTATATATATTACATATATATGACATTAGGTAA